AATACAAATGTTATTAATTTATCCAAAAGTCCTGTTTTACACTCTCGAATAAAGCACATTGAGATACCACATTATTTTCTAAGAAATCATGTTCAACACGGTGATATTTCACTTGAATTTGTTGACACCAAACATCAATTAGCCGATATTTTCACAAAACCCCTTGCGCTCGATCGTTTTCCAACTATTCGACGAAGCTTGGGTCTTATCGAGCTAATATAATTTTCAAAACTGTATTTTCTCTATATATTCCTTCTTTTGTTTACATTTCTATTTATTAAAAAAACGGACGTCCGGTATGGACTGTCCAGCAAGGCAGAACTTTTTCTGCCTTTTGATTATCTTTTACCGGACGTTCAGTATATATAGCAGATGTCCGGTACTTGAAAATTCTAGTTTTTAAAACTCGTATTTTCCCCTTTTCTTCTCCATTTCTCTTTTCTCTTCTCTTCATCCATTGTTCCTCTCTCTACTAACTCTCAAATTATCTCACAATCATCTCTCAAAAATCAATTTCCATTGGATCAAAATTTTGAATCTAGAATTCAAACTTTTTATAGATTTCTGTTCCAAAACGAGCCCTAGTTCTCTAATTTCACTCTCCCCTTTGTTTTTTGCTCAACATTTGGCTTTTACTCGACATATCTACCCTATTACAAATTATTCTAACACTCTAGATCTTCTATTCAAAGTCTTTCATCCAAAAATTTTGAAATCCCTCACTTCAAGTCAATATTTTCGAACATACCTACTATTTGTGCAAAATGTTGACTTCAAACGATAAAGGGAAGAAGGTCAAGCAAACCTTCTAGCGTCCACCTCCATCTCCATCCTCTGACGAAGTAATGGACTTTGAAACCGAGACTACGCCGACGAATCCCCTAGCAAAGGCACCCATTCTTCTAGGTAAAAATGTCGATCTCATCTCTTTTTCCTTTGATGCCCCCGCATTTAGGATAGAAGAGCATGTCACGACTATGGGTTGGACCTCTATTTGTACAATTCACAAAAATGCATATCCGGATTTAATTCGCACCTTTTACACAAATATCACTAAAATTTTTCATCATTTTGAGGTCCCTCTTCACGATGAAGCTTTTATTAAACCACGACCCACCGACACCATTAGTTCCAACACACTTAAACGAATGAAAATTATTAGAAAGGATGGACAATGGGTGTCCGAAACAAAGGGGTTTAATCCGACGTTGGGGCCTTCTACCCTACCGTTCGACGACGAAGACGTTGATGATGACGACGATGATGATGCACCTCCTGCTGGTACCTCACGATCGAGAGCTTCCAAACCCACTGGACAAAGACGTAACGAGGACCAGCTTGCACTTTTGAATGGACGGATCAACTCTCTTACTACGACGGTCGACGAGATGAGTGGTGAACTACGTCATATTCGAGCTCAACAGGACACGATTATTGCTCAACAAGCTGCCATGCAGGATCAGATGACT